GGTAGGGGTGGGAGGGGGGGAAAGGGGTGGGTGGGGGTGTGGGGTTGTCCTCATAGGTTCAGAGCATAGACTCCTAACACTGTTTTGTTGTTAAAATGGGTTTTGTTTATTTATTTATTTATTTGTGGTGGAAATAGGCTCTTGGGAAAGTTGTTAGTTTTTGCAGTCCTAGGGATTGACCTCAGGGTTTTATGGAGCCTCTGGCCTTAAGTTCCCAGAGAGCTTCCTGCTTCTGCCTCCGAGCTGGGATTAAATGAGTGCGCCACTATGCCTTTGAACATCATTTTAAGTGATGAATGAGTGTCTTACAGCATGAAGATGAATTCATTCCCCTTTGCTCAGTATTGACCATGACCGCTGCCTAGGATACCCTTTCACCCAGTTGTGTTTGGATAATGTGGCCACAGGTGTTTTTCTTTTACATTATTTTAACAGTGTCTTGGTTTGGACAAAATATGACAAGCATATTTTGTTAATTTAAAGCCAATCTTAATTTTTTACGTGTGTGTGTGTGTGTGTGTGTGTAGCTAATTTGTAAGTCAGTTTTCTCCTTTCATCTTATGGGTCCTGGGGGTCAATCAAACACCTTTATCTGCTGAGCCGTCTTACTGCCCCCTCCCCTTTTTTTTTTTCCAGGCAGGGTTTCTCTGTGGCTTTGGAGGCTGTCCTGGAACTAGCTTTTGTAGACCAGGCTGGTCTTGAACTCACAGGGATCCGCCTGCCTCTGCCTCTCAAGTGCTGGGATTAAAGGTGTGCACCACCAACGCCCAGCTGTTTTATAGATCTCTTAAGCACAGTAATTTACACTTAAAACATAACTTTAGCTCACACAGACTGGCCAGTACTGCTGCTTTCTCTTAAGAACGTGTCCTGACTGCCAGCATGCCACTTCCCTTAGTCACCATTGTATAAACTGATCATATGACCACTCCATGGTATTAACAGGAAGAGTCCTGAGCAGAGGGAGAGAAGCAGACTGGATGTGGCCAGAGCTATCTGTGAGAGAGGGGACAATAGCAAGGAATAGAGAGTAGAGAAAGCATAGTGAGAGAAGCAGGAGCCAGAATAGCCAGATTGTAAGAAGGGTGAGTTGCTGAGGAGGAGGCAACTAGGGTGCTAGTATGGACTGTGAAATGCTCATAGGCATTATAGGTGTTTGTTAACTGGAGAACCATAGGTCCCTTTTCTGGAAGTAAGGGAAGTGGCTTCTTTTGGTAGAATGGGCTTCATAAGTTCCTGAGGAATGCTGGTTTTGTTTTGTCTTAACTGCAAGAAGTCCTCCTATAGTCCAGGTTGAGCTAGACCTACCTACACTCAGTTTTGGACAAGTCAGTTGGCCTGCCCTTTTTGGGAACAACCTGACAACCACCTGTTGCATCAGAGCCCCAATAGGGTGGTTCTAATAGCCTAGAGGCTAACACTTGGGGGACAGTGGCCAGGTCTAAGGCCAGAGCTGTCCTTTTCTCACCCATCCTGCTTCTGAATTTCCCTGTACTAGCCTGGAAGAAAACAATTCATTGATAATATTCTGTCAGGATGGTTCCCTGGGTTTCCTACTCAGTGCTCACCCCAGCTTGATTTGGTGGTTGCATTTTAAAGGCTTGTAAAGAAGCACCCACCTCGAAGAATATGCCTCACAGTCTAAAATGTTTACAAAGGAAATGTCTCATCCTAGCCCTAAAATAAAGAAAAGCTGTGTGTAGAGGTTCATGCAGGCAGGAAGCTGGATACCATTGTGGTTTGATTTGGAAGACCTCATCCTTGGTGCTGTTGTGAATGGCCAATGACCTTGGACAGGTGACACTGTTTTGAGACAGGGTCTCACCCTGTAGCCCAGGTTGGCTTTAAATTCATTCCAGCCCTCTTGCTTCTGCCTCATAAGCTTGGGATTACAGGTGTGAGCCTATACTTGTGGTTAGGGTCTTTCTTTCTCTGTTGGGTACTGCAGATTATACTGAGAATTTTGTACATGCAAACACTGCACCATGGAACTATGTGGCTGTGAAACAAGGCCTTGTTATGTGACCCAGACTGGGCAGCCTACCAAGTACTGTGTGCCACCAGGCCTGCTAAATTACATGATTTGGGGCTGGGGAGACAGATGACTTATTGGTTAAGAGCACTGGCTGCCAAACTATACTACCCCATGGGTAGAAAGAAAGGTTGGAGAAATTCAAGATTGTTGTGTTATCTCCCTGGGGCATAGAGAATTGCAAAAGGCTGAGAAAGCTTCACCAGTCTTTAAAGAGAAAGGTTCAGTGGGAGGGAGCCTGGAAATTAGGGTAGGTGGTCTGCTGGCCAAGAAATGTGTTAAGACTAGATTTCCCCTTTGCCTCTAGGGACAGAGAAGGGGAATAGTGACTTCCTGAAAAACAGAAACCTGCTTCACAAGGTTCTGAGGAATGCTGTTTAGGATCCTTCTGTTTACCTGTTCAGAGTCCAGCCTGGGCTGAGCCCTACTATCATTTTAGGGAACCCACTTTGGACGTAACAGCAACCAGTTCCAGGGGATTTGATGCCTTCTGGCCTCTATGGGTAATGCATGCATGTGGTACCTAGACATGCACATAGACAATACACCCATACACATAAATCTTTAAAAATGTAAACTACATAATTAGACTTTTCTCCCCCACCCCTTTCCTTTGATGTAGTATGTGTGATTTTGATTTGTTGAGCCTCTTTATGTTCTAAGTTAGTGCACAGTAGTGATTGTGTGAAGGTGGTCAAGGTCACCTCAGTTATGTACAGAGTTTTAAGCCAGCTGGGACACATGAGACCCTGTCTCAAACAAAGGAGTAAAAAAGCAAAAACTCTTGGTAAAACCAAAAATCCACGCCCTCCATCTACAAACAAATCAAACCAAAGCAAGATTCTAAGTTGGTGATATGTTGTGCTCCACAGGCACAGCAATGGGATTATGAGTGTACACCTCCATGGTTGGCTACCCTCATCCCTTCTCTGCAAGGGTCTTCCTCCTCAGCATTCCTGCCTGCTTCATACTTCTGAGCTGAGCCTCCATCTTGCAGGAAGTTGTGATTGATGTTTTGGTACTCTTCCAAACTATAAGTTCCGTGAGAGCATCACAACCATTGTCTGGCTCTTTGCCCCTGTTCTGAGGGGTCTGACCTGGGCTCTGCGGTACTGACTCCCACCAGCCCATGACTTATTCTGTTTTAGTCCATCTAGGCCTGGGAATTTGAGGCTTAGGAGATGCTGTGGTAAATCCCCAGGCTCTGTTATGCAGCTGCATTCTTTTTCCATAGGCCACTGGATGGGAACGTCTGCCTCCCCCAGGTCCATGGCTGGGCCCCACTACAGGTGCTCCATGGAGATGCTGATGCTGACACTGATGTCCTCTTCCCTGTCAGTGGAGTGGGCTCGTATGTTGCAGCAGGTGGGTGCTTCCTGTCTTCTCCTGTTAGAACTTTGCCCCAAAGACCAAATGGGGCTTTTGAGTTACCTGTTCAGGTAGGTTTGGAAGCTAGTAGATCTGGGTTTAGGGCAAGGACAGTTTGTGGACACTGAGAAGTTAGAAGTGGCTATGGGGTCTTCTATAGAACTGGATTGTTGCCAAAGACTCCAGCTGAGTGCCTCGGTGTAAACTGGTTGGCAAGACCTTAAAGGAGCTCTCATGCCTGCCCCCAACAGTTTGTTGCTAAACTTGGCCACGTCAAAGTTAACCACAAACAGTGACCATTATTTTACATCTGGGAGGATGGACCCTGTAAAGGCCCCTATGCCTTTGCTCCTCTTTCTCTCTGCTGTGTACGTTGGCACTGCCTGTTTTGTGATGGCATAAAGATGTGCATGTACTTTGAGGGCATTTCTCAGCTCACCTGAAGCCTGTGGCCTTCTAACCCCTCATTCCCCTTGGGTCTAATACCCTTTAGATTTTTATCCTCACTTTTAGCTTTTGGAGTTGTTTGTTAAGTTGAGGAGTGTATTAGCTAGTTTTCTGTTGTTGTGATAAAATGCCATGGAAAGCAACTTATGGAACAAAGAGTTTGTTTTGGCTTCTGGTTCCAGAGGGGTAAGAACCCATCATGGTGAGAGGTATGGCCGCAGGCATGATGACAACCAGAGAAGGAAGCAAAGCACTCCCATCATCCACCATGAGCAAAGAGCAGAAAGAACAAACTGGTAATGGCTAAGGCTTTACATTTTACAGCCCGCCCTCCAGTGATGTACTTCCTCCAGCAAGGCCGCACCTTCCATAACCTCTCCAAACAGCATCACCAACAAGCAGGACCAAGTGTTAAATGCTTACACCTATGGGTGACATATCTCATTTAAATTAGTACAAGGAGTGACTGTCACATACTACTGTGGTCTGCTATGATAGACTTGGGAGCCCTCTGGGAAGGCAGCTTTACACTTGGCAGTCAATATGCTGTGGTAGTTAGGATGCTGTGGCAGTTGACAGGTGGCTTTATTGTGTAGCCCCAGCCCACTTACACATAGCAACATGGCATTTAGAGTTCATGGTGTTCTTTGTTCAACATTTAGCTTTCTGCTTAAGTGTGTGGTACTAGGTCTTGGGAGATCTGAAGAGAAATCACACCTGAGGTTTTGTGGTCAGGGAGGGGACAGAGGATATCTTTATTTGTGGCAGTACTGAGGATGGAACCCAAGGCCTTGAGTATACTAGACAATGTTCTGTACCACTGAGCTATATCCTTAGCCTTTTTTATAGTCCCCCCCCCCCAGACAGGATTTCTTTGTGTAGCCTTGGTTGTCTTGGAACTCACTCTGTAGATCAGGCTGGCCTTGAACTCATAGATATATGCTTGCCTCTTCTTCCCAAGTGCTGGGATTAAAGGCATGTACCACCACCACTTGGAATTTTTTATGATTTTTATTTTTTTAATTAATTATTTTTCTTGAGAGAGGGTTTTAGTGTGTAGTCTAGCTGGCCTAGAGCTCACCATGTAGACAAAGCTAGCTTTAAACTCTGAGAGATTCCCCAGCCTCTGGTTCCTGAATGCTGGGATTAAAGGAGTACATCCATAGCCTTTAAAATTCTTTACAGTTTTGCATGTATATGTATGTGCCTATATGTGGCTATGTGCACGTGAGTTCATGTGAGTTATGTGCACATGGTGGCCAGAAGAAGGCAGTGGATCCTCTGGCACTGGAGAGTGAGTCACCACATGGGGGTTCTGGGAACTGAATTTGGGGCTTCTAGAAGAGCAGTAAAGGCTATGAGCCACTGAGCCTCCTCTTTATCCCCATATTAAAATTTTTAAAAATTACATGTACTTGTTTGTTTATTGTGAGTATGAGAATCTTTGGAGATGTGCCACTGTGTGTGGGTGGAGGTCAGAGGACAACTTTTGGGAGTTGATTCTCTCTGTCCACCACATGGATTCCGGGGAATCCATGGGCAATAGGCCTGGCAATAAGTGTCTTTATCTCCTGAGCCATCTTCACAGTCCTGCAGTTTTTTTTTTTTTTTTTTTTTTTTTTTTTTTTTAATTTTAGACAGTGTTTCACTTTCACTAGACAGGGTTTCTCTGTGTAGCTTTGGAGCTTGTCCTGGAGCTGTCTGTAGACCAGGATAACCTTAACTTGTGGTAGTCATCCTGCCTCTGCCTTCTGAGTTCTGGGACTAGAATACATAGCTTTCTTGATAAATAACGTTTCTTATACAACTTTTTCAACACACAGTTTTTTTTTTTTTCTACTGCCCCCTTCTCAGGCAGGTTAGGCTCCGTGTCCCACACTGTCTTCTTGCAGGGCTGACCTCATTGCTCTAACCTCAGAGTGCAGTGATGAGACAGTGCCTGTTCTTCCTTCTAGACTGTGTGAGGTTCACAAGTACAAGACCAGGTCTATCTTCCATCATGACCCTGACCTTGACATTGGCCACTACTGAGCCCTCAGTTGGGGCAGTAAGTAAACCCTTACTGAATGGATGAGTAGATGGTTGCAGATGGTGCAGAGATGCTGCAGGCAAGGATACATAGTGTTGTGAGAATGGTACCCACACAGAGGATACAGGCAGACAGAGGTGCCAAGGCAGGAGAGCCAGGAGGTCAGAGGAGCAAAGATGGGCCTGGCTTCTGAAGTGAGGAAGGCTCAGCTCCATGCTGGTCTTCAGTTGCTAACTCTGTAAACCTGGTAAGTCAGTGAAGCCCTTTGGTCTGTTTCTTCATCTGTGAAGTTAAGATAATACAGACTGGGGGTGTAGCTCAGTGGTATAGCATTGACTAGCATCCATGTGTTCTAGCTCTACCACCACACACATGATAAAAAAAATAGCAGTGGCTATTGTTTCAGAGAGGGCCAGAGGATGAGTGACACAGCTCATGTGCATCACAGTGCCAGCTGTATGTAGGGATGTGTGCCAGCCACACAGAGGAGCTGATGTGTGGTCAGTCAGGCCAAGTCAGTGCTGCATCTGGAATGTGAGCTGGGTGACAATGGCCTTCATTCCAGCCATGCATTTCATTATGTGTGGTGTTAGAGCCTTGGCTTTGCTTCATGTGTGAACTCTGTCAGTCATGGCTGAATTTCAGGAGCTTAGGAAGCCTCCTGTGAAGGTCCTTACAAGATGCTGATCCTTCTAACCAGAAATGAGCCATTGCACATGAGCAGAGGGAGGGATAATTTAGGTGACACTGGAAATTTTGTATATTGTGTTTGTCAACTTCCTGTTATTGTAACAAAATACTCAAGACAATCAACTGATAGGGAGCAAAGGTATATTTTGGTTCACAAGCACAGAGATTTCATCCCATTTTCAGTTTGCTCCGTTATCTTGGGTTTTCAGTGAGGCAGAACACCATAGTTAAGAATGAAAGATGGAGGAAGCGGCTCACCTCATTCTGACCAGGAAAAGCAGAGAGCTAGGAAGGGGCTGGGCATCTGATCCTCCAGTGAACCAGGTCCTACCTCTCAGCCCATTGCTTGTCAGTAGCACCATGAACTGGGGACTAAGTTGCAGGCCTTTACAGGACATTTAACCATAGCAGATGCACCCAGCTCTGTGGTGGCCAGAGGGTAAGTGTTCCTAAGATGACAGCACTGTCAGAAGTGGGGTGTAAGGCCAGGGCTTTTGAAAGTCCAGGAGGCTGATGGGCCCAGGGAGGTCTCAGTAGAACTTTCTGATAGCCAGAAATGTAGAACCAGGCTTCAGGGCTGAGGTCTCAGCCAAAGGAGAGAGTTTGAGAATTGTCATCTTGAGAGGTAAGAGTATACACTAGATTTTGTAGGATCACCAAAAGGGGCATGGGCCAAAGAGCCAATGGTGGCACATATATGTGACCCTAGGACTTAGGAGGTGGAGGCAGGAGGAGGCCATCCTGGGTTACATAGTGAGTGTCAGGCCAGCTCAGGCCACATAGTGAAATCCTGTCTCAAAACAACAATAATTACATTGCATAGTTGTTAAAGTGCACATGCTTGTAATTCCAGCAGTTGGAAGGCTGAGGCAGGAAAAGCTTGAGTTAAGAGGCCAGCCTTGATTATATAAGGAGACCCTGTAACCAAACAAAGCAGAGCAAAAGGGGAAGCAAGACACAGAGAGGCTACGTAACTTGTTGAATTAAAGTTGATTGAGGAGCAGGGATTTGGTGCTGTAGGGTCTGTGTCCTGTAACCACACCACTAGGTAGCAAGAAGTGGGAGGTAGTTCCCTGACTACCGATGCCTCACAGTCCTGGGAAGGAAACCAGGCTTGCAGTACTCTTGGGTTACTGGGAACAGTTGGGGTTGAGTGGCATGTGCAGTCTAAGGTGGGGAGGGTTTGCCTTCTCCAGGCTCGCTTCCCTTAAGTCCAGCAGAAGCAGAGGCCCAGAGGCTTGCTCTACCTCTGTGACTCCTTTGTGTGACTCAGGAGTCAGGTCATGAGAGAGTCAGGTGAATGAGCAAGGGTTCCCTTGAGTGTTGCCATGCACCTCCAGGCTTGCAGATCTGCACCTTTTTCCTGGAAGGAGGCCTGAGCAGCAGCAATGCATCTGTGAAGCATTAACGTCATTTGCCTGTTTGCTTTAGAGATTTGTGGACTCACTTTTTTGAAAATGCTTTTCCTAAACGCTTAGTGGCGTTTGTAGAAAGCTGCATACTTTACCAGTGCTGAGACCCTGCTGCCCTCTAGTGTCCATTACAAGCAGGAGCAATTTAATAAAAAACCCGATTCTGCCTTGGACTTTGGGAATAACTTCCCTTCTTCAAGGTTAAAAATTCACATGTAGCTACTGGTACCAAGTCTTAATGATGCTTAAGTGAATGAACTAGGTAGCAGGTAATCCAGTGTGTAGGTGGAAAGAATTTAAAATCAGCTAATGGAGAGCAGCTGAGCACTTGGTCAGGAGAAAATGGAGTTGAGAGCCAAGCCTCACCCTCTCTGCATGGTTTCTGCACAGATGCCCCTGTGGGAAGTCTGGAGAATGGCACAGGACCAGATGACCACGTACTCCCAGAGCCTGGCCTTCGATACAGGTCAGTGTCAGCATCATGACATGCGGTTTATCTTTGCATGTTTTTCTCATTTAAAGGTAGGTGCTACCTGTTGGGATTGAAGGCTAAGGCCTGACCTCATGTTTGTGCTCATATGTGCACTTGTCAGGGTCAGAGGTGACCATTCACCCAGATAAACTGTTCTGTGATACAATGCCAGAGCAGGGCGGCTGCTTAGTGCTGGAGTGCTTGCACAGTGTGCACAAAGCCCAGGATTCCACGCTCAGGACAGGCAGCAGCCATCAAGCCTCATTTGTATACCCCTGTCCTATCCACACCTCTGCTGCCATACTGAGTATCCCCTCCTCAACTTTCCTGTTTAGGTTTGTTAGTTGTTGACAATGATGTTTATCAGCCCTAGTACTATATGATATCTAGGTTATGGGAAAAGATATAATAGCTGTCAAGTATTTAGTGTATGGCCTGGCAGCTTGTAAGTGCAGAAAAGCTTTTCTCTTTCACACTAAAAATAACAACAGGGGCTAGAGAGATTGCTCAGTGGTTAAGGACATGCATTGTTCTTGTAGAGGACCAGAGTTCAATTCCTAGTACCCACATCAGGCAGCTTATAACTGCTTGTAACTCCAGCTCCAGGGGATGGCCCTAACCTCAGATAAAATACATATACACATGTACATGTAAATAATAATCATAATGAAAGGTTAAAAAAAACCCAACAATATCTGGGTGGCGATGGTGCACACCTTTAATCCCAGCACTTAATAGGCAGAGTCAGGCAGATCTCTGTGAGTTTGAGGCCAACCTGGTCTACAGAGTGAGTTCCAGGACAGGCTCCAAAGCTACAGAGAAATCCTGTCTGAAAAAATCAACCAGAAACCCAAATGGAAAACTTAGTCACCCAGTGTCACTGATGCTTACAAAGGGAACATTGCCATTGAGGTCTCCTTCATCTCTGTTGCTTCCCACACGTAATGATTTTAATTTGGTGTCTTGAAGTGATCCATCTGTATGCCTAACTTAGCTTCAAGGTGGGGGGAGGGATCCTGGCTGCCTCATACCTTGCTTGGTGTCTTGTTACTCAGAACAGACAGGATTCTGAAAATGACACACCACCAAGGGCTGATACCATTGAGCCCAGTCTCATAAAGGATGGTGTCATTGCACCCTTCCAGGACTCGTGTTCCTTTTTTCAGCATTTGCCAAATGCAACAGTGATTGAGGAACGTGAGTCCGAGTCTGTGGCCTCTCTTTCCTGCTGTTCATAGACAAGCCAGTCTATTGTTCACAGTAGAGACTGATTATAAATGTGCAGTCAGTTTAGTTATCTGCAGTCATTATGCTCTGTAAGGTTCTTCAAGCACTAGTCCTGCTTATAGGGGGGTATGCTGGAACAAGTTGCTGGGAGCCTGTTGTCATGATATTTCTGTATCCATTGATCCATCTGGGTCTCTGTCTGTTCTCATTTAAAGGCCCTTTGTGTAGAATCTACTAGAGATATAGCTCAGTTTAGGACAGTGCTTGCCCAACATTCACAAAGCCCTGGGTTTGAGCCCCAGTACCACATAAAACTGGGTATGGTGCTTGGGAGGCGAAGGCAGATGGATCAGAAGAAGTTCAAAGTCATCTTTGGTTACGTTAAGTTCCAGCCTAGGATACATGAGACTCTATCATAAACATATGTTGACTAGTCGACAATGGGTAGTGAGGACACACATTTGTCTGAGTGAAGCTTATATAACATACAGGTGCACTTGAAATACCAAAACACTTCCAGGGACTTTTTTCTTTTCCTTTTTTTGTGTTTTTTTTTTTTTTGAATCAGGATTTCTCTGTATTGCTTTGGAGACTGTCCTGGAACAGAGATCCACCTGCCTCTGCCTCTGCCTCTGCCTCCTGAGTGCTGGGATTAAAGGCGTGTGCCCCTAATGCCCGGATTTCCAGGGACTATTTTAACTAGGAAAAGCAACGATACAAACCACAAGAATGTGAAAACCATAGTCCCCAGAAAGGACATGTGTTCAGTTATGCAATGGGACCCAGGAAGGCAGTGATAGCTTGTCTGACCTCAGCTGCAAACAAGCCCATCGAGTGACTCTGACTTTCCCTCATGAATGGCTTGCAAAAGCGTTGCTTGTATTGGTTTGGGGTTTCCAGTAAACTTCAGACACATCTGCAGTAACTCGGAGAGAGACTGACTTGGGGCAGCTGTTTTCTGTTTTTCCAGTAGATTCCTGGGGAAATGTCTCACCTGTGAGTGTTATGAGCACTGAAGTTGTGTTTTAGACCAAGTATAACTTTCTGTTGCCTGCTTTCTCCCAGTATGGAAGCCAGTTCTCCAGGCCGAGGAAGTCCTCTGAGTAGCCTGTTACCATCTGTCTCTATGCCTGAATCCATGACAGTTCGTAAGTACTTTCTGAACCTGGTGTGTGTGTGTGTGCCAGCAGTGCCTCTGTGCTCACGAGTACCTGCAGTGTACTTGATCCTGGTGTCACTGTAGGATCCCTGAACCATGGCCAGCTTGTGTGTATGGGGGTGTGTCTGCTAACGGATGTTGTTAGTGTTAGGTCTTAACTGCTTTCTGCTGCAACAGTGAAACACCTGTGAACCAAGTGATTTATAAAGAAGAAACAAACAAACAGACAAACAAAACCCCCAAACTTATTTAGTTCTCAGTTCTGAGGCCTAGGGGGCTGGGACTAGCATCTTTGCTTCTGGTGACAGGCCATGAGATGCAGAGCAACAGGTTTGTGTGGGAGGAACATTCACTTCAGGGAAGCTAGAGGAAAGCTTTCCAATAGTCCCCTGTCAGTAATGAAGCCTGTCCTGGGACTTCCTTCTGTGGGTCCAAACTCACACTCTTGAGAAAAAGTCCCCCTTAACTGCTCAAATTCTCAGCACTGTTACACTGAAGAGTTTGGGAGGATGCACCATAGCAGGCTTCATCATGTGGGGGTGGGGCTTGGTACAAGTGTTGTTGTTACTGGAGCAGCTGTCTCCAGAGTAGTGCAAGTTCAGATGAAGACTTGCATCCCAGAGGCTCACCTCTCACAAATCCTCAAGGAGCTCAGGAAAGGAACCTACCAACCATGTGCTCCCCAAAGCCAGTTTCCCTGCTTCCTCTGCAGGGTTGGTGCAGGTGTCTGTGCCCTGCTTTCTCTGCATGCCCATCTTCCTCTCAGATGTAATTGGTGTGCCAGGAGCAGTAGTGTCTCACTATCATGAAAAACTCCATTTTAAATGCCATATTCTGTAGGTCTTTGAAAGGTTTGAAGAATATCTATCCATGTCACATACATCTCTGTATATCTAGAAAACTTAACTCACCTAACTATGAGTTTTGACTATTATAGGTGACTATATACAATCTATATATAATTGTGCATTACATTTAAAAAGATCTGTATACCTAACAAGAGGAGAAATTTACATATAACAAAACTGACCTTAAATTGGTATCAATAAATGAAAATCCATACCAATGCAAAGTATTCATTTCAATATCATCTGTGGGCATCAGAAATTGAATGTCAGTCCTCTGAAAGACCAATAAGTGCTCTTAACAACAGAGTCATCTCTGTGGGTCCCTTCATTGCTGTTTTTAATGAAGCCATCAGTTCTTAAGGGATGACACTAGGCTTTCAAGATGCCGGATGTATTTAATTATTATAGGCTCTGAGGATTCTTGTAAGTTCTTGGCTAGGGCAGATGAAAAGGAGGAATCAAAGCAGTGTTACTCCTCTTGCACTCTGTATCTGATGGGAGGACAGGTCATTTAGGAAAGCAGCTCTAGCAAAGGGGTCTGGATGAAATAGCATTGTCCCATCTGCAAGATGAAGGAGGCGCCACTAGCCCTGAGGTGGAAGCTCTGTGGGAGGGCAGCAGGGTTTGCTCCTGGGTCCTTCTAGTCTGTTGGTTCTGGTGACAGCCCAAGGCATCTCCCTCAAAGACAGAGCTGACCTTTTGTTTTTCAGGAATATGTACCAGGATACACAACCTTTGATGTCTGTGTCTCTGATTGGTTCTCAGGCTAACAGGGAAAGCTAGAGACCAGCTTTGCATTTTCAGCATCTGTTACTCAACAGTCCTTTGTATTTTAGGAAGAAATACTTTAGTTTCAACCAGGGCAATGAAAATGGAAGGGCCGGCCTCTTGGCAGTGTCAGTCTCTCTCTGTGTTGCTGCCCTTGGTTTCTCAGTTTAAGAATTTAAGACCATTCTGTACTAGATTGGGGCTGTCCTATAGTGGTAGCCCAGGAACTAGCCTGTGCAGTTTCCCTTCCTTGTTGGCACTCAGATACCTTGATGTTTGCAGATCTTGGTGTTGTTTTCATTATGGGTGATTTAGGAAATCTCACTGTGCTTAAGTTAGCATTGTTTTTGAGAAAGGATCTCATTGCATAGTCCAAGATCATCTCAAATTCGTGATCCTCCTGCCTCAGTCTGAGTGCAGGGATTATAGATGTGTGCCACCATGCTTAATATGGGTTATCATTTTCATAGCTACATAAAATGCTAATTGGTGGCTAATACTACTAAAATTCTTCAACAACTTTTCTTTTATATCTCTTTTTTTATGGGAAAGAAACCTTTTTCTTTCTTTATGGGGACAAATACAATCTCAAATTTTGTGGGGAAATAGAAACAGTTTAACATATTGGAACTGAAATAGAAGAAAATAAATTAACATTATTAGTCAGTGTTGTTGACCTGCAATGCCCTTAAACATATCTAATAATCTGGAGATTGGTAGAAAATAGATAATTTACTATTTGTAATGATTTGCTACCTTAGCTAGCCTCCCTGAAACTTCATGGTGGTGAAGAATTTGCTTTTTTTGGTTGTAGTGGAGTTTGAACCCAGGGCCTCAAGCATGCTAGGGATGCATGCTACCACCCAACTATAGCCATAGCTCCAAAAAGTTTGTTTTCAGTTTTCAACTTTCATTTAATCTGGTATTCATTTAAACTTAATTTGTGGCAATAATATTTCAAGAAAAAAATTGAATTAATTAGTCCCATGGTACCCTGTGTGGGGGTCTAGGAGGGTCCAAGCATGAGAGGAGAGAGTGTGGAGAACCATAGGTGTCTGGCTTTTGAAAGCAATTAGTGTCTCTGCTCTTACTGGGGTGTGTTACCATCAGGATCAGTGACAAACAGGGTAATAGGAGTTCGTATTTTCAGTTAAGAGGGCTCTTGGGCTACGCAATTCCAGGGATGCAGCTCAGGTGTTAAAACCACTACACTGGATGCAGTCAAGATTCCCTCGCTTCTCAGTAGCCTACAAAGTGCTGTCATCACTGGCCCACCAAGGCAAACTGAGAGAAGGTGCTCAAGGACATGTGGACAAAATCTCTGTTTTCCTCCCTTCCTCACCCTCTCTCCTTCCCGTTTCTCCCTCCTCCCCCTCACCTTCACTCTGGGATGGATCTCCTGCCCTGAAGTTCAGTACTGCTGCTCGTCCTACTTGTCATTATTTTGAAGATGGCTTGCTGTGAACCCCAAGCTAGTATGGTATTCAGTGTGTAGCTCAGGCTGGTGTGACTATAGTGAAAGCTTCCTTCCTCACCTTTCTGAGTGCTGAGATTACACCAGTGAGCCACCCTCTCCCTTGGGTGTGTTGGGAATTAGCATTTCACCTTATAGGATAGTCTGTCCACTCTAGTGTCAAACCAGGCGGCACTTAGGATTGGAGTTAGCTATTTAGAAGCTTTAGGGGAGGTTAGAGGCAGACTGCTGGAAGGTTGAGGCCCAGGCTGGGGACAGAGAGGGAATCAGTGTGACTACCCATTGTCCTCTTGCTTGATGTTTAGTGGTCACATGAGGTGTGTCTGGGAGGAGCTTTCTAAAATTGTTTCTGGATGATTTCTGGGACTCTGTCTGCTTTCCTTTTTGCTTTCCTTCTTGTAACTCAGGAAGATCCTCCTGCCTCAGTCTCCTGAGTGCTAGAAGTACCTTCCACGTGCCTTGTAGGAGCCCATCTTGTGAGTCCATCAGTTCCAACTAGAGTTCCAGGGGTGAGCCCGGTTCTAGAACTCTGTCTGGTATCACATATCTGCTTGGTTTCTTGTGGCCTCTGCTTCTGCAGACATCCACTCCATCCAGAAGTTCTCTGGGGTAGTTCCAGATGCCTGGACAAGGAGACTCTTTCTGGAAGCTCATAAGCTTCTGGAATGTTCTGCCCTCAGGGGAAAGCATCCAGGTTTGTTAGGATGACGCTCTCATCATGAAATAGTTGTGTCCTCCTGAAATATATGTGTTGAAATGCTGACCCTGGTTTGGTGGTATTGGAAATAGAAGAGATCAGGTTGTGAGGGCAAAGCCCCACGAAAACCATCCTTAGCAACGAGACCTCCAAGAACTCGTTAGCCCTTCTGACCTGTGAGGACAGTGAGAGGATGCTGAATGAGGCTCTCTCTAGGCACCAGTCCTGGCATCTTGATCTGGGATGTCTTGCTCCAGAGCCACCTGCAGTGTCTGAAGCCCCCTCTAGGAGGCTGGCTGTCCCTGGTCTACCACCCTTGTCACATGGTACCACTTTGCTTTTCTCATAGTTGCTGACTGAAGGTTTCAGGCCCACTCCTCACCTGAACACCCTTTCCCTCTCTAGTGCCTCCAATGGTCACAGCTCCTGGGGACAGGCAGTGCTGGCTCCCTGCTGCCTTGGACACCCCAGATGCTTCTTGGCACAGAAGGAAGGAGACAGGAGGGCAGGAGGACAGGAAAGGAGTTTAGTTCTGTGGAGAGCTTGTTAGTTCCCAGCCTCCTCTGTGACAGGCTGAGCTGACTGTGGTGGAAGGCACAGCGACTTGGGGACCTGGCTTTGTTCCCAGCTTTGATAGTGGCCGACCCCTCAACATACCTACTTCTTGCTTGCTCCAGCTGTGATTGCCCATGCTTGTCGTGATGCTTGTGTTCTCATCAGCAGTAGGATGGAGTCATGATGCCAAGTCTGTGTGTCTGTGGTGACTTGTTTATGCCAAAGGAAGGAGTCTTCATCCCCCTGCAACTGTCTCCTTTGCCCAGCGGTAGCAGTTATTGATATGTATGACCTTGATAAGGTGGTGTGGATAAGCACCCTTGCCCTTGGTCCCTAGCCTTTATATTAAGAAAAAAAAATTCTCAGTGCTGAGGCTAGAATTCAGGGCCTGGTGCATGCAAGGCAAGCATCCTACAGCTGAACTGCAGTCCCAGTAATGTCTATAGCTCTACAGACCTGGGCTAGCATAGTCAAACATAGTCACTGGTGGTCTTTGGCCAAGCTTGCAGGCTCTCATGGGGGTTTTGAAAAGCTACCTTTCTTTATAAAAGACAAGCATCACAGTCATATTTTCATGTTGAGTGACTAGCAGTGGAGACCTCAGTACAACCAAGATAACATCAGGGCCACTGGAATGTGAGCTGTGA